TATTTCTAACGATGTTGGTGAATTATCTGTTGAGTTTTCAACTTCATGCGTTCTAGAGATGTGACTTGCATCTACCTTCATGCAGTACAACCGTACAAATCGATCCATTTGTTTACGGAGGTCGTCTGCTAGTATACTACGTTTTACCAGTGTTTTGAGATTAAATATTATGTTCTAAATCGTGTGTTTATGTGACTTTAAAAAGAAACAGAGCTGCAATGCCGGGGACTGAAGTTAGTATTTTTATGTATCATAGAAATATACATTTTAAGCTTAAGATATTAAATATTTGTTTGATAGTTCTATCTGTCAAAACGTATCGTTGGCGTAATCATGTTATTAATGAAATATCTAGAAAAGAAAATATAATAAATAATTTTAACTAATCGAAACTTTGCTTTTTTTTATTCTTTCTATTACATATCTTTTTAACAACTGTATAATATTTTTTTTATGTAGGACAGCACGACGGAACTCGGAGAAATAGAAAATGTCAGAGTTGTGGTCCGCGTTCGACCTTTAAATGGAAAGGAGTTGGACGGGCACTGTAAAAATGTAATACGTGTGGATACTATAAATAGTGAAATAACTGTTGAAAATCTGAATGCTGCACACGGAGAACCACCAAAAGTTTTCTCTTTTGATGCTGTCTTTGATACTGATTCAACTCAAGTTGATATTTACAATGAAACTGCAAGACCTATTGTGGATAAAGTTCTTCAAGGATATAATGGAACTATATTTGCATATGGACAAACAGGCACTGGAAAAACTTATACCATGTCAGGTGCAAAAACATCACCACAACTTAGAGGTATCATTCCAAATACATTTGCACACATCTTCGGATACATAGCTAAAGCTCATGACAACCAGAAGTGAGTATCTTGTACAAAAAAGAAATAAATCAAAATTATACAAATGTCTCATTTTTTATTTAACAGTATTTAATGAATTAAACATTTAAACAAATAATGATTTATTTATAGATTTCTTGTACGTGCAACATATTTAGAGATTTATAACGAGGAAGTTAGAGATTTATTAGGTAAAGATCAAAACAAAAGATTAGAAGTAAAAGAAAGACCTGATATTGGTGTATTTGTAAAAGATCTTAGTGGCTATGTCGTAAATAATGCTGATGATTTAGATCGAATAATGTCTCTTGGCAATAAAAACAGTAAGTATTTTGCT